TCGCCAAGGGACGGCTGGCTCGGCGCGGGCGCCGAGTCGAGAGTGCGGGTCCACTCGCCAAGGCCACGGGTCTCCTCCTCGGGCTTCTCCAGCTCCGTGCGTGGCCCAGGCTGCCCGCCCGCCCGTCCGCCCCCGAGCCCAAGGCCCGGCTCTTTGCGCGCAGGCCCGGGGCTTGCTCCGCCAGGGCGATGGTCGTTCTTTGCCGGTCCGCTCCGCAGCCCTGTTTTACGTGCGCGCTGTCAGCGGAGCGCCCTCGCCCTCGCGAGCCCGAGCTGGCCGCACAGTCAAGTTTACGTTCCTCTGCTCCAGGGCTCGGGAAGAGGAGGACAAGGTTCGCGTGTGGCCGGGACCGCTCGCAGCTCCAGGTGCGTGGGCAGGCGGAGGGCTCGGCGCGCCGCCTTGCAGCCATCCTCGCCCGAGCGCTCGCCTCCACGACCCCGGCCAGCTCATGCGCAGCGCTTCGCCATCCCTTCTCCCCAAGGGAATCGGCACAGATTTTTAAAAGAGGTGTGTGGCGCGCAGGGAGCGCGGGGGGGGGGGGCGGGGGGAGAAGAAGGATGCATTTAGCAAACAAACAGCAGCATCACTAACAGCTGGGAGGAGATCCTGCTTGCACTCCAAATCAACTTTTTAAAAAAATCCTGCCAAGGACAAACTCGCCCGCACACCTTCCTCGCTCTGAGCTTCATCTCACAGCAGAGTCGCCCACTGGCAGCTTCCATACGTTAAGTTGGGGATTCCAGCCAGGCAGGGACAGGAAACGGGTTCACTCGCTGTGTGTTTGTACGTCATACGGAGAGGTCCTTCGCAATTAGCCTGTGTGTCATTAACGTGGCTTTACACCGAGATCTCCAGCCTATGAGGGACCACTTATCCGGATGGCCCTTCCGAGCGCAAAATAAAGTTGTCTTATGCAAAGCCTCAAGTGCGTGCGAGGAATTTAGAGGGAGGAGGAAGAGGAGGGGGGAGGAGGAGAAAGAAAGGAAGGAAGAAAGAAGGGGGGCTCTTGTAAAACTTTTATGCCAAACAAAGTTATAAAAACTTTCCATGCGTTAAGGTATCAAAAGGTTTATAACAATAATAAAGCTTGCATGTGACTTGGTGTGCGTGTATGAATGCTAGCTATATTAAACCGCTGCGCAGCGGAGTTCGGAGTTAAATATTAAACTCCATCAACATCATGCGTGATTCGACTGTGTATTTGGCTCTGTGCACGTTTGTGTGTGCGCGCACACTCACACGGACGACTTTCCCTCTATTCTAACTTCAGTAGGCGGGCACATTGGAAAAGGGACCGAGCCCCTTTCTGATTCCGGTTTATTACAAAAGGGTTAAAGGTGATGGACTTGACTCCATTGAAGTTCAAAGACATCATATATTCACATTTTTTGTTCTTCTTGTGCCCCCTCTCCTCCCCCAGCGCAACAAGTGTAAACCCTGCGTACAAAGCACGTTTGGCTCCGGGAGTCCTTTGGCGCTCTGCACCCCGATCCTAGGGAGCGAAGAGACAAAGCTACGTGTTAGAGCTAAAAATGACACGGCGTTCCTAAATTCTCTCGGAATGGTGACCTCCTTCTCCGGCGAAATGTCCCCCTTCCCCAACCAAAAACAAAAACAAAACAGAAAAGAAAAAGACCCCAAAAGAACATTAACGGGTTATCCCTACCTCGAACTGCTGCTTAATACCCTTGTAAAGTCCCACATGGTCTATAAACTTGGATTTTACAACTGGCATTCCATTTTAGCTCGAGAAAACTTTGAACTAGGCCTCCAGTTTCATTGTGCCGCAGCCCCAGCAGAAGCCTCAGGAGAGGCGGGTGGGGGGGAGCGGCGGGGTGGGCAGCCGGGACCTGGGAGTGCGAGCGTGTGTGTGTGTGCGTGTGCGTGTGTGTGAGCGCGTGTATCTGCGCGCAGGCTGGGTGTGCGGGAGGGGGGGAAGCTGGAAGAAAGCTAAGCAAAGACACCCTTATTTGTTTACTATTTACTGCGGAAGTCTTTTTCAATGGCCAGACGGTGGTAATTAAGGAAAAATTAAGCTGTTTAGTGCTGCAGTCTTTATTACAATGTCTAGACTAGTCGCCCCCTTTGTCCAGACAACCGCCACAGTTATGGGGCATTGACTGGACTTTCTGACCTGGCGATACGCACCTTATTGCACCTACGTTTTAAGTTCTCCCTAACCTTGGAAAGGTTTAAGCAGTCCCTCATTAAAAGAGCGGCGGGCGTCTTTGACCGATGCGCCATTTTGTTTCCTCAGATCGCTCACTGTATACCGGGGGGCGGGGGTGCCCACGTTCCCCTCGGGGTGGCTCTGAGGCGCCCACGGCCCGCCTTGGACTCCATTGTCCTTCCAACATGCTCCTGCACTTTGGGCAACACCCACCGAAGAGCCGTCCCTATTAGGGAAATATTTACATCGGGTCCTGAGAGTTCCATGCCACTGAAAGGCCTTTCTAAGGCCCTGCATCCGTTCTCACAAGGGTCTCCGTTAGACAAGCACAGAAAAATCAGGGCAGAAGGAAGGAGAAGCAGATACAGAAGAAAACAGCCTGTGCGCGTTTGCCTCGCTGCGTGTTTGTGTTAGTGTGCGTGTGTGTGATCTGGACCTCTCATCTCCCCTAATGGAAAACATTTCTGTTCACATAACCCCTTCCGATAGTATCATGGCGAAACGGGAGCTAGATCCGCTAAAGATTCTTCTGTCTCCCCGTCTCTTCTCTGGCAAACTAAGCACAATGTGTGGGTTTCCCCATGGCTGACCCAATCAAACCATAAAGGCAAGCAACACCAAAGTATTTTAATTGAACAGGATTGTACTTAGCAGCAAGCACGAGAACTTCGCCTGGCCAATGGGCGAGAATACAGATTTGTTACTGCTTGTTTCTTAAACCGGAGACGTCTTCACGCACCACACCCTTGTTACACAAGTATTCATCAAACATCAGTGGGAAATTTAAAACTAGGGGAATCCATCCGTCTAGAATGGCTGGATTCTTCCTCCTGCGCCCACAGTTAAAATGCGCATTCAACTAGTGTAGGTATCTTCTTGTCTTTTTCTGTCCAGTTGTAAGCAAATTGTGTTTCTTTAATGGAGGGAGCAAGGGTTACTGACGTGTAAATAGAAAATTGCACTTCTATCCCAATGTCCGGGAGTTGAACTTGTTTTGCTTAAGAGAAGGAATTAAGTACTTGACTTTGCATTTGTGCATTGTGCGGGAGGTAGGTGGGGGGGGGGGAGAAGCGGGAAGTGGGGGACAGTACTTTATCCTTGACATTAAGAAAATTTCCACTTCCTCGGTGGCACAGTTCGAGATGCTCTTATTAACCACCACCAATATAGGTCTTTTAAACCATGTTGCAATATTGCTCATTAGCCACCATTGTAGTATATTGCAATATATTGTGCTTGTAGGGTGGAGGGAGGGAGGAAAAGAAATAAAAAGATTAACTGCATTGGGAAAACAGACAAAGACATCTGGAGCCAAGCACAGAGCTGTATTATTGGGCCAAGAAATTCCTATAAATTTAAATGCAATGATGAAAACAATGAACTCCACAAATGTCTAGTTAAGCACAGCAGGTTCATATTAATGTGGATATTTATATATATAGTGTCCCTGTTTGTGTTTGTGTATTATATGTATGGACGTGTGTGTCTGTGTGTACGCCTGTGAGTCATATTGATGCTTACATGCACACATGTGACACACACATCTCTCGCATGTGTGCTCACACACACTGAGAGAGAGAGAGAGAGAGAGAGAGAGAGAGAGAGAGAGAGAGAGAGCGAGCGAGCGAGCGAGCGAGAGCGCGAATTGGGGCATTTCAAGTTCTATAGGAAAGCCCATACCACATTGACCACAATGAGCCTGTTAGGAGGGAAATACTAATAAAATGGTCAAATAAAATCATAATGTAGAACAGCTTGAAATGTCTTTATTTGCCACAGAATTTCAAAGAGTTTCCCGGGATTTACTTCTTTACATACACAAAGATTTATTTATAATCGTGGTTGTTACTGCTGTTGGCCTTTGCTGCTGCGGCGGCTGTTGGTCTCCCTGTCCAGGGGGGAATAATGCATTTACATACTATTTAAGAGACAGTTATTGCAAATTTATTGTAGTCCATTCCTCTTCCTCCTGGCCCATCCCCCACCCCGACCCTGCCCCCAGATGCAGAAAGGGAAAGAGAAAAGTGGGGTTGCGTGGAATCAACAACATCCAACCTGGGACTGCATAGACTATTTATATATAGAAAAGATACATGGGGGAATCCATGGGAATTACACCATTACAGTGACATCAACTCTTGGAAGGTGATTTCAATCAGTGTTCAGCGAACGCATGTGCAGCGGTGGAACCCCAGTGGAGTGCAATGTGTGTGCACAGATGAACATGTGTGGGTATCTACCCACGTACACACACACACCTGCACACACATGTACACACACAAAGCCCTCCACCCAACTGAAGACAGGGAGACTTTGCCAGGGAGGGGGTGGTTTTTGTAGACATATCATCAACTTGCATATAAAAATCAGGACAAATAGAATAATACTTTCTCTGGACAGAGCACTGGGGTTGTTTCCAACAAACAGAGACAATTAAGTGGTGATGATGATTGATGAGGAATAGGATGAGGAAGATGAAAAGAGGCGCAAAAGCATCATAATAAAAATAAATCCGATTCTTTGAGACTAAACGTTAAATTAAAAGTTCAGACAGTATCCAAGTCCCATTCAATGTTCAGGGAAGGGGGTTGGGGAGTATCAGTGACTCCTTTTGGTTACGCCCCAGCTGGTCCCAAACATACAAATCTAAGGAAGGAAGGAAAAGGTTTAAAACTCTGAAGGTCGCTTGTCGACTCCACAGTCCAATCGTGTTTGCACAGCATCCCTTCTTCATACACAGAATTCTTCAACGAGCAGAGGAATTTTTTTAATGTTTTCTTTTTCTTTCTTTCTTTTCTTTCTTTTTCTTTTTTTTTTTTACAAAAGAGGTTCACAATAAGGGATTTCCAGAGAAATACTGCAGACGGTCTCTGCTTAGTTTTTTTTCTTTCATCCTTCTGTTCTGAAACCAAATTTTAACCTGTCGATCGGTGAGATTCAACATCCTAGACAGCTGCAGCCTTTTCTCTTTGTTTATATAGACATTGAAGAAAAATTCTCTCTCTAGCTCTCTGATTTGGAATTTCGAATAGGGACACCGCTTCTTTCTTGTACGGGGGGCACCTTTGGGGTGGGGAGAGAAATACAACCAGAAGGGAGTGAAAATAATTAAGCAAATGGAACAACCACATCCCAAGACCTCCCACCCACTCTGGAGCTCTCTGGCTTGGATTCCCACACAGGTCTGCCCCCACCAGCACGCTGAACATCTCAGCAGGCGTGTGTGGCAGAAGGCAGCCGTGGCGACGATCCGTCCTGCTCATCTGGGAGCCACGAACCCCCCAGCCCCGTTGCAAGCGGGACCCCAAGCGCAGGACCTACGAAGAGCGCTGAGCAGCCCGCGCGGGGCCATCGCGGAAGCCTTTGGCCGCGCTGCGGAGCCGCAGCCTTTCCGTAGAGTTCGCCTCAGCAGCGTTAGGACGGGAAGAGCCCAGGCACGAGGCTCTGCAGAAGTTTCTGATTAACTGGAATGCCACCCTCCACATACCCTCAGCACACGTGCACGCACGCACACACACACACAGGCACACGCGCGCGTTCACACACAAAGAAAAGCAAAGCGAGAGCCTAGCTCAGTCGGAAAGGGAGCAGGGTGTTCCGCAAGGTGTCAAACAGAATGGCAAAGAAAGTGTGTGTCCGTGTGAGTGTATGTGCGCGTGTGTGAGAGAGCTTGTGTTTATGTGTGTGTGTGTACACTCATACAAAAGTTCTTACAGTACTGAATGGTCCGTTCCTGTATGAATGAAAATATACCTCACGAGGGCCCTTGCTTGGTCAGTTGCTTCCGCTTAGGTTCTATGTTTTAAAAGAAAAGAAACACGTGTGTGTAGTCCGAGCTGCTTTCTTGCTGCTGCTGCTGCTGTTGTTTTTGTTGTTGCTCTGTGTGTGTGTGTGTGTGTGTGTGTGTGTAAACAGATAGACAGACAGCTTCCTAAGGTGAATCGAACATCTTCAATGACAAAACAAAATTACACTTAAAAAGACAAAAACAAATCAAGGAATTCCGCCTAGTCTTACAGAAAGGAATCTTACAGAAAGGAACTAAAAATACCATGCCGTGATGATTTGAAAATGTTGCATTCCTTCACCGAATATTTCTCCCTCTCTCATTCTCTCTCTCTCTCTCTCTCTCTCTCTACACACATATATAAAATTTGGACATGCATTTTCAATGGGGAAAAAATCCCCCCCTCCCGCATGCATCTCTCAGTGCCTCCTCGAGAGGACAGGAAGCTACAGCAGTGTTCTGCCCAATTGCCTTTTACCCTCAGAAGCCCGGGACCAAATCCTTTTAAAATGCTCATGTAAGTTCATGATCAAAGTTAATATTTGTCACCATGGTGTGCTTTTAAAATTTCACAGACTCTGAGATACTGTGTCTGCGCCTAACATCTCCATTTTTCTCAAAGAGCCTTTCCCATCGTAAAAATTCTTCTCGTTGCAAGAAAGAGCTTTGTAGGTTATAATAAAATCCTTTGAATGCTTATAAAACTCCACATAAAATTTGACCGACAAAACAGCGGGCTAGTCCCTTAACCTTTCCATTTACTGCTCTCTCTACCTACTCGAGTTGCTGGTTTTGCTCCCTTCCTTGTTGACAGAGGAGGACGACGCGGTGGAGCCCGGGTTCGTGTTTTCCTCCTCGTCTTCCGGGTCGACGCCCGGCTCGCCGCGGGATGACAGCGCGCCGGGCTGCGCGTCGCTCTCCAGCTTGCTCTCGCCCTTCTGCAGGCAGCTCTCCGGCGGGTTCTCGGCGGAGCAGTAGGCGTTCTCGAAGAAGCGGTCGAAGCCTTGCGGGAGGACGCTGTTCTTGCTCATGCTGGAGTAGAAGCCCGTGGGCGCCGGGTGGTTGGCGCCGGGGTGGTGGTGGTGGCTGTACGCGCTCTCGTTTTTCATTAGCATTTCGGTCATGGTGGAAGGCGGGATGCACTCGCGGTGCATCAGCTCTTCTGCGGAGTAACACGAGGCGTAATTGCTTCTATGGTGCCATTTATTCGAGGGGTCTAGCCCGTAGGAGACCTCCCGCACTGGCTGCACTTGCGAGAGGTTCGTGGAGTAAGGGTAGGAGATTTGGCGAGAGGGGGCCTGTGGCAGGAAGGATGACACAGTCGAAAATTCTGGGACGTAATAGGTGCAGCTGGGGAGGTAGAGATTGGAAGCGCAACCTGCTCGGTCCCCGAAGTCCGCACTCCGCTCCTTGCGCGACTGGGAGCAGAAGTTTCCCAGGTTCACTGAGTTAAACATCTTTCTCCTTTTCTTGCTCCTATAGATAGATGTTTTGGATCCGATGTGCAGAGGGGGAAAAATTTGGGAAGGCGAGATGACGCGCTATCCGTCTTAGTCGCTCTCTCCAGGACACGTGATCCAAAGTAGATATTGTCATATATCAGTTTGGAGCACTTAGAAGCGTAGGAGTGGTTCACTTAGGTAAGATCTCAGAGGTTCAAACGATTGGTTTTCAAACACCGCAGAAACATTATGAAAATCAATCGCAGATTTGTATTCATTTTCTTCCAGGCACACCCCTTGTAAGCATTCAAAGCAGATAGCGACGGGGTGGCTGGCGAAGTTCTCTCGCTCGCGCGCTCTCTCGCTCTCTCTCTCTCGCTCGCTCTCTCTCCCTCTCCCTCCCTCCCTCTCCCTCTCTCTCCTCTATTTGGATTTTGCTTTCAGTTGTTCAGGAGGGATTCAGATGTGGGGTAGAGCGGGGGTAGCTCAGGGGTGGGGGAGGTGAGGGAGGGTCTACAGGAGGTGTTAACTGTAATTTTCTCCCTCTCTCATGTTTGTTCCTTTCCATGCGAGACACATTTTAGGCGTGCTCAGCTATAACCTTTTCTCTCTTTTTAAACTGGAGCCAACTATTAGAAGCCTAGAGGATTGGGTCAAGATTCTTCAGTAAGTTTTCCAAGGTTTCTCAGGAGCTTTCTTCAGGAGTGCGCACCACCTCTGCAGAGCCTGCATGTGTGTCTCTGCGAACTTGAGAATGGGAAGACAGAAAGGGGCACGATTAGTCAATTTCTAGCATTTATTGGATCCCTACCTGCCCCAGTCTGCATCTCAGGTATGCAGCAATCAAGTGTCCGGAAGCGAGTGTGCATCTCTGCAGCAGTGCCAAATATGCCATTGGCAGAATAAACCTGGAAACTTTTGGGGTCATCTCAGCCCCAAACTGTAGCCCTCCGAGGCCTGGCTTAATGATTTTGGCGTACTAGAAACAAGAAATATAGAGCAAGACATAGACTTGATGAATTAGGTCAAGGCGGGATAAATATTAGAAAGACTCCTTTAACGTTTGGTTAAATATTTATTATGTAAGAGTGGTATAGTGAATATTTAATGCAGCTGTTTATTGTCAATCAATGTATGTTCACAATGCCTTGTGATCTTTCTTCTACCAGCTAAATAAAAGGGGGAAAGCAAAAAAGTTCCTTATTAAAGTCGTTTGTCCTTGTATTTGAGGCTTTTGAGGGTAAACCTCTCTTCCACCATGCCAGAACTGAAAGCCCAAGCAAGGAATATTTCAAAGCATGTCCTATATAACATTTCCCGTGACTTTCAACCAATTGTTAATCTAAAGTGTCTTCTGCCAATAATAGTTCGGAAAGCCATTTTACAAAGGCATATAAAGAAACTGGAGGTTGCTTATATGTCCATAGAAGTGCCCTAACGAATTGTGCTTGAAACTCTTCTATCTTTCAGATAATTTTGAGTACCCATCATACATGCCTTAAAGAGATTTTGCGCCTGAGCTGAAAATTTTCATTTCTCTCTCTCTCTGTGTGTATGTATTTAAAAGCCCTATTATCGATCTGTATGAATGTGTTTGTGTGTGTTTTTATAAAAGCCTTCCACCTTAATATATCTCTAATTTTCTGTTGGCTCATTGTTCTTTCTCCACCTTCTCATCCCCGTTATTATTATTATTATTGTTGCTGTTATTAATTCATTTTGCTGATATGTTTTGCTCCACTCTGTTTCCTTGCCCTTTTCCATGAATTGTGTGTGTACAGTGAGGGGAGAACCCAGCAACTTTTCTTTGTTTACCTAAAATCTTCCCATCAGAACCTCCATCACTGGCACCAATTCTGGACAGTTTAAATGCCTCATAACAAAATTCACACAACATCAGGAGGGTAAAATGGCTTTATTACCGGTATCCTGTCAATTCGTGTTGCAGCACATTAAGCACTCATAGCATAGCAAAGACCTGAAACAGAATAGGCTGATATAGAAGAATATATTGGGAGCAGGAAAATATTGTTTTGCAGAATATTTCCTTTGGGAAAATCTCGAACAAGCCCTTTAAAAATAATGCAATTCTAGCCACCAATGATACCAGAAGAGACACCCCGAGATGACCTTATTCGCCCTGTGATTTCTTTTCAGTTTAATTCTTTTAATTTGCTTGCCTCATCTTACTTCTAACCAGCAGGTAAGGTGTAGTTTACAGGCGATGGTCTGCCCCAAGAAGGGAGCTGAAACCAAAACTGAGTGTGAAATTAATAACTAAGGTGGTTTGGAAGTAGGGGTGGTGGGCATCTGTGTGGCTCAGAGGGAACAGGCAGATTATCTGACCAAAGATCTGCCAAAAAGTCAAAATATTGAAAGCAGCTCTGGTTGTGTGTGTGCGTGTGCGTGGGTGAAACGTGCAGGATACCCTTGGCATTGAGGGAGCACCTTCAAACCCTTGGTGGATCTACTGAGATGTGTACAGAATTCAGTGTATTTGCTGGCAGAACGAAGACAAACCAAAGTGATCTGTCCTTCCTTAAACCAAACAACCATCTTGTCTTTTTAATTTATATTCTGCATTCTTCGGTTTTGGTGAATGTTGCTCTGCATCCTCCAATATGCCTTTCCAAAGATTCAAACAAATAAGCATCCCGGCCCGCTCCAAATTCTTCTGCATCTCTCCTGTCTCTGTATGTGAAGAGAAAAATTTTGCAGGGCAGCCGCAGAGATAAGCAGAGATAAGCTCCTTTTGGTTCCATCCTTTGCACCACTTTTACGAGTTAGATATTGTTTTAGGCCAAACTTTTAATTAAAGTGTCAGGGAGCCTTTACCTTGCCCTTTAACAGAGTAATATTCATCCTAAGTACAAACTATTAAATGTATTGTTTACGAGGACCATCTTCCCCCCTCCATCCCCACCCCCCACACATTTCCAGCACTGTAGAATCTGTTCTGGTGGGGTAAAGAACTGAGCACATTTGCAGTGTAGGTGGGTGGGAAGGATACTGTAACATCTGTGGCCACATAAGTGCACTGGTTTCCCCCCACCCATCATGCCCATATCTTTCCCCCTTTTCTTTCCCTTTTTCTTTAGGTAGAATTACTCCTCTGTCTTATTTGACTGCATTAGTGGCAAATTGAACGGTTTGCTGCTAAAAGCGTGTAGGGTGTGATACGCAGGATCTCTCCTTTAGGTGTGCAAATAATTTATTGCTCTTAATAGGTAGATATAAGCTCAAGCCAACACCAGTGCTGTTGTGTTTTTTTAAAGCCCGGTTTAAAGCATAGGATTTGTCGGCTTCCTGCGAAGAAGCACAGAAAAGACAGCTGTGGAGCCACAGCACTTGAATTTGAACCACCAAAGTCAATTCCCTGACTACCATAAAACAGAAGAATGAAGACTGGAAGTCTCACATTCCTTTTGGTCTCCACTTAAAAAAAGGGAGAGAAAGGAAGGAAGGAAGGGAGGAAGGAAAGAAAGGAGAAGTCCTATGAATCCAAGGCAAATAAACCGTAGGGCTTGTTGAGTTCTATAATTGTTGATCAATTTTATTTTTACAGTTAAAAAAACTTTTCCCTTTTTATTTTTTTTCAGATGGGTTTTTGACACATAATGAGGGGTAATTGAATTAAAACACAGGGAGAGGGATGTTTAGAAGAAGATGATTTGAAAATGTCTCCAGAGCTGCTTGTATAACACGACTATAATATGAAGATAGATAAAGGGAGGAAGGGAAGACAGCAGAATAAGCGGAGAAAATGATTATGTCGATTGTCAGGCAGGGCTTCACATGTGTAATTAGACATGTGCATATTTAGCTAGCCGGCGTTCGTGGCTCTCCAAGTGTATTGCCCTGCAAGGCATTGCTATGTTAATGCAACAATAAATTTCCCTTCCACTCTGCTGGATCATTTGCCTGATAAAATCACAGGCACACTTAAGCGCATTGTTGCTGTTGTTGTTGTTGTTGTGAAGGGGGGGAATGCCCATTTGGGCCAGGCTTTCTAAGAAACATTCTTTCTCTGTGGCTAAAATGAACTTTCCAAGAACCCAGCTCTATTATACTTGTGGTCGACTTGGCCAGAGAAATGTTACCCTCGTGGCACAACTCCAGTTCTTGGATTTGTTTGTGTACATTGTGCAAACTGAAGCTGAGCTGTCCATAATGTCCAAGGCCAGTCTGAACATAGCCTACAGGCATTTGCCATTTGTAAACCAGTCTCTCTGGTCCATTACTATTTGGGAAATAAATGAATATTCTGTTTTCCAGTGTAAATTTGGAGTTACTTCCTCAGTCCAAACTGATGAAAAGTTTCCTGTATGCAGAGGGCTTTATTAGTGCTAGGGAGAGAGTTGCCACTTTCTGGAATATACATAACTGAATATATTAAAAAGGAAGCTCCTGCAACTGTCTATCTTGTCTCCATTTCCCTCAGCACTTGGATCACAGGAACATGCACAGAACAAACCCAAGGGCTTCTTAGGGAGAAGGTTAGAAATGGTTTACATCTGACCTTTTCTCTATGCTGGGGTCCCTGGTCTTTCTGGCTGTCCTGCAGGTTTCAGGTGAGCACTCCTAGCTCGTCCTCCCAGCACCGACAATAAGAGCGATTCCCATGTAGAAGAGGAACCTTCGTGGCAGGCTTGGGGTGGGGTGGGATCAGCTGGATCCATCCAAAATGTCAAGTTGCCATTTTACTTATTTTGTTTTCGCCAAACCATTCCAAACTTTCGATGCCTGAGGCTTGTGACCGCCAAGTCTCCCGTTATGTCCCCTAAGTGAATGTAAGCCCCATTGATTCCAGTGCAACTGACTGACAAATAAATATGTTTGGGATTACAGCCTACATCCTCTGGTTTATTTGGTGCAGCAGTAATAGCAGCACTTCCAAAGGAAAAATAAAAGACCCCAATGTCTTTAAATCAAGCCAAAGGGTACTGCAAAGCTAGGCCAGTAAGCAGATGATCCTCGAACGCCTGTGTGTTCAGGAAATCCGGAGCCAGAGACAA